AAAGAGCATGTTCAATCATACTACTTGGATTGGATTATCACTTTCAAACAGGAATAAGTGATGCATTAAGTCAAATCCATGATGCGGATATTGACAACAAGGATATTATGTGTCCCCAAGCAGTATTTGTATGTGTGATCCAAAACAATACGATCTTCCTTAATCATCTTTTTTTTAATTCACTCATAGACGTTGGCAGTACCAAAAATATTTTCTCCGGTAAAATAGACATAAAAAATCACACACAGAAGTCATTGTATTGATTATTACGTAATCACTTTAAACGGTAAATTAATTTTGATAATATGACTGTTTGTTTTATTCTCAAAACAGAAAATCTTATGTATTTCTGTAGTTTTCTCAAAACAGAAAATTTTTAACAAGATGAGGGAGGGAGTTTCATGTCTACCTTGGGGAGTGATGTGAAAGGACTGTTAAGCTTGTACAACGCAGCCTATCTTGGGACTCATGGGGAGATCATTCTTGATGAAGCCATCTCTTTTACGAGGAATAGCCTAGTGTCTGCATCAGTCGATCTTAAACCACCATTAACAACGCAAGTGTCTCTCGACCTCGAGACTGTTGGGGATGGAGGAGCAAAGAAATAATAGAATACTACGATGCAAGTAAAAGAATCCTTTTGATTGAACAAAACTAATATAGTATTTAAAAACAGGAGGATTCATAAGAACACTTCAAGATATTTCTAAGTGCACACACTCTCTATCTCCTTAGATCATGAACTTCATGAACTATGGTCCTATTTATAGGACCTAATGATAACTACCCTATAACTACTAGATGAGGTAGTTATTGAAACCACCTTATAACAACTAGATCATGATTGAGGTGGTTCTGTAACCACTAAATCATGATAACTATCTAGATAGATAACTATGAATCAAATCTCAACACTCCCCCTTGATTCATAGTTGCATACACCGATTTGCGACATAAAATAAACATGCTTTTGAACTGGAAGCGATTTGGTGAGGATATCCGTAACTTGTTCATCTGTTCCACAATACTTCATTGTTATGGCTCCACTTGCTTGAAGTACTCTTTCGATCATCTAAAGCTCCTGTCCAATCACTATCAGTTAAACCAAATAATTTACATTTAAACTTTGTTTTGAATACCAATTTTAATTCAATCGCTTTCTTTTCTTTCGGTAGATCCATTAGCTCCCAAGTTTCATTTTCTCAATTGACTTGATTTCCTCCTTCATTGCTTTTCTCCATTCCTCTTTTTTAACTGCTTCCTCAAATTTGTTGGATCTGAAATAAACAAAGCAAATGTTGAGTTATAAATTTCTGTTAGTGATCTGAAATTTCTTGGAGGAGTTTAATCTGAGGAATCAGAATTTGAACTGCTATTGGGTGAGGTTGACGATGAACTTGTTGGAGCAGGATCTGTCACTTGAGTCTGCGGAGTGTCTAGTTCTACTGGAATCTGCATTTGTGTTCCACCTTTATTGGTCTCCCAATTCCAACTTGCCCTTTCATCAAACATAACATTTCTGTTAATAATAACTTTGCCACTAACAGGGTTATATAATCGATATGCTTTCGATTGTAAGGAATAACCAATTAAGATGCATTTTTCAGATTTTTCATCAAGTTTGTGATGATTTTGTGAATTTACCAAAGCATAAGTAATACATCCAAAAATTCTTAGATGTCTAACACTTGGTTTCATACCAAACCAAGCCTAAAAAGGAGTTCGATTTATAACAGCCTTTGTTGGTGAAATATTTAACAAATAAACTGCTGTTGCAACTGCTTTTGCCCAAAACTGATTTGGATGATGTTTTCATTTAAGCAAACTTCTTGCCATTTCAACGACAGTCCGATTCTTATGCTCAGCTACACCATTTTGCTCCAGTGTATATGGTGCTGTCAATTCTCTGTGAATACCATTTTCTTCACAAAAAGAATTAAACTTATTAGATAAAAATTCACCACCTCTATCTATCCGAAGTGTCTTTATATATCTACTACTTTGCCTATCTACAAGTGCCTTGAATTTTCAAAAATTATCAAATGTTTCATATTTCAGTCTAAAAAAATATACCTAACTCATGCTACTATAATCATCCGTAAACAATAGAAAATATTGACTTCCACCAAATGATTTTGTATTCATAGGTCCACATAAGTCAGCATGAATTAATTCAAGACAATTAGATACTCTCCATGCTTTTCCAATAGGAAATGGTTTTTTATTTTGTTTGCCATAAATGCATCATTCACATACATCAAGTGTATTAATCTTGGGCAATCCGAAAACCATTCCTTTTTTACTTAACAACCTTAAACCCTTAATGTTAAGGTGTCCATATCTTAAATACCATAAACTAGACTCATTCTTATGAGTTGTGACAAGCGCATACCTTTCAATATTTGACACATCAAGTGGAAACATCTTATTTTGTGTCATGCAAACATTTACTATAATCAAACCAGATTTTTTATCTTTAATAGTGCATGAACCATTATCAAATATTACTGAATATCCTTCATCTATCAATTGTCCAACACTCAACAAGTTATGTGATAAAGTAGGAATAAAGAAAATATTATCAAGGTATTTTACCTTCCCTTGATTTGTCTTCACCTCAATTGTTCCTTTCCCTTCCACTTGGATTTGTTTGCTATTTCCAAGTCTAACTTTCAACTTATGAGTTCCATCGATATCTCTAAATATTGATTTTATGCCTGACATATGATTATAATATCCACTATCCAGAAACCAAATATCATTGGAGATATCATGAACTTGTGAATGAGTCATAAACAACTTAATATTTTCTTCATTTTCCTCCATATAGCTTGCTTGCTTTTCTCTTTTCCAGCAATCTGCCGTCATGTGACCAAATTTTTTACAATAGTGACATTGAATTCCACTCTTATAATTTCTTTGATCATAATTTGATTGCCTTTGTTCATCATGTCCATCAAAGTGTCCTCTTCCTATTCCATTTCCTCTACCATGAAATCCTCCTCTGCCACGTCCTCTTCCTGCTGATTTTTTGTCTTCTTTTAAAGTAGAAGACTCCCCCTTAACCTGAAATGCTTTTTCTTCACTTTTTTCAGGTGACCTGTTCAACCTTACTTCATGTGCTTGCAAGGAACCCATTAGTTCATCAAATGAATATGTAGATAAATCTTTTGACTCCTCAATTGCGGCAACAACATAATCAAATTTTGGAGTTAAACTTCTCAAAACTTTTGCAACAATTATATGATCAGGAAGATATTCACCATAAGATTTTATTTGACTAACAATTTCAGTCACTCGAGAAAGAAAATCTTGCACTGATTCATTATTTTTCATGAACAAAATTTCAAACTCACGACGGAGGGTTTGAAGTTTTACCTTTATTAATACGCCATCCAACGAATCCAAAGGACAATACATAGTAGTTCTATATGATCCTCCTAGTGATATGTAGTTCTATATGATCCTACTAGTGATATAGTATAATGAATCACTCTCAACATGTCATCCAACGAATCTAAAGGACAATATATAGTATAATTAATCACTCAAATTTTATATAGATCTACATGATCTTGCTAGTGATGTAATACAATGAATCACTTTCAACACGTAATCCAACAAATCAAAAGGACAATACCTAATAATATAATACGATGAATCACTCTCAACACATTGTCCAGAAATAAGGACGACATACTCTCTGTTAAACAAATATTAGATTGATGCTATTGTACATCTTCTCTTTTAAGTAAAAAAGAACCAAAATCATAGTCTTTATATATGAGATTTAAATTAAATGAGATGGCTAGTAAATAAAATTTTATATTAGTAGTTATAATATTTACTAAAATGGTATTAAAGTAAATTGATATATTTTACTTGGATGGTCTAGTTTCTAAACAATAAAACTTAGTTAAATCACTCAAGCCAAATAAAACTAATAAATCAATTTATCAAAATGAGATGGCAATACCAAA